ACCCCACACCAAACAAACAACCTGTTAACTCTTATGGGCCCTCAGCAACACTTGCAACTACTACAACAGCGTGCCAATGATAATAATCTTTATGTGTCATCCATTATTATATATTGCAGAAAGACTGAGTTCGCTTGCACCGCACGGAAGGGGGCCGTTTACCTTATATTTCAAACGTTGCTTTTCGAGGACTAAAATTGTTTGTCTTTTCAGTGATCAGTGTATTCTGGTTGTGTCTTATCTCGCGTGCCTGCTCAAAAATGCCCACTCCATGACTTTGTCCCATGAGATAAGGATCTTTTTGTCGAACAACCTCTCTTCGAGATTTTAAACATTTGTTTCGTCATAATATTACAATTCTTGCCCTGTCCTTATCTCGCCAAAGGCTTTTGTAATTACAAGGCTCCAGATGAATTTATCTTCACTCAGCAAAACAACTATAAAAGTTTGGTGGAATTAGGTCGCTGTTGCATTTGCCGAAAGATTTCAATTGTATCGCCATCAACCAAGATGGGGATTTCCTCTTGTCTAACATTTCTCTTGGTCGTCCTCTGCGGCGTCGCCCACTGTAGACTCCGGCGCCAGACAAGCACACCTGACTACGTGACGGTGGAGCTGAGCGCCGGTCAGTCATTGAGAGGGGAGAAGATCACCAAAGACGGCCAGGGGCTCAATGTCTTCAAAGGAATACGATATGGAGCAGCACCTGTCGGTAAGCACTTCTGTGATGTTTAAGTTTGGTTGTTTTTTCTTTATATTTAATTGTCCCCAATATAATTCATTTCTGCGCGTTTTGCAGTTCTTAATCTTGTTTTGTTTTTTGCTTGTTTGAGTAAAGAGAAGCCCATCGGCACAATAATGGTCATCCAGGGGTGGGAAAAAGTAAGACAGACAAACAGAAACAACAGAGAAAAAGTAAAGATGTAGGACAATGACATTCTTAGTGACGTATGTTTCTAATAATATGTTAACAAAGTTGTAATGAATAAAAATGCAGACTGCAGACAGGATTTACATACTCGATTTACATATAGTAGTAGTAGTAGTAGTAGTAGTAGTAGTAGTAGTAGTAGTAGTAGTAGTA